AACAGTGTGTCCCTCCAGGCATGCGACTTGAGTTACTGTGTTTTTTTAAGCAATTTTCTTTATGTACGTCTTGTATTTTGTAGGCTAGTTCCAGTGGTCCAGCCTGGTGCTGGTGGCTTCTTGCGGTGCTTCCTCTGGAGAACCGGGCGCAGCTAACCATCTTGGCCATGACATCCCTGAAGGACCGACTCATCGCCATTCGTAGGGTCCTGATCTTTGTCACCCGCAAGCGGCCACGGTGACCGCTGAGACGCCCAGCGAAAGATGCTCAGGCTTCTATGCAGTTCAGTTACTCATTTACTCCGTCACTTGGTCAGTTGTCAAAAGGGACACATCGAGGTATGAAGTCAGGATGAAAATCCCTTTCTCCAGGGTTGGTCCTCCTAACAACACATTTTGGCTGAACCAAACTACGACACTTTCAACACTAGCGACCTCTCACCTCTTGTCTTCTAACCAGATGGGGGAAATCAGGCCAGAAGAATATTGTTGCTTCCATTAAAGTTTCTTCTGGGTGATTTTCTTAATTCCATTCTGATTGAGAAAAAGAAAAAAAAAAAGCACCACCAACAACAACAAAAAAACCCGCAGCGCAGCAGGGCCTAGCTGGTTCCACCACAGACGATTCTCTACAGTGGTGTCAAAATAGCTTGAATGAAGAGACTGAACCTCTTCACTGCCACTAATGCTGTGTCTGTGTCACTGTGTGAATGCATGTGTGAATGGGTGAACAACACAGACACGGTGAAGCTCCAAGAGTGGTCAACAGACCGACAGGAAAGTGCTCCACTGATGTAATCTATTCACCATACTTCAATGTTAAAGCTGTGTAAGTAGGAACGGGGCCGCACAGGCGCATGTGTGAGCATAGAGTCTGCATCACTGAAACACGGCTGGTCAAAGTAGCCACAGCTCCCACTCAGGAAGTGGTTCATACTGAACATCTCTTATGCTTTTTAACAATCATTTAGTTGTGTTGTGGAGGCGGACAGGTGTGATGAGAGAGCTAACACTGTGGCAGTGGAGAATCCTTTCATGCCTTTGTTGCTTTTCTCACTGCTAGTAGAAGCTAGGCAAACCGTGCTTAAGCTTGGATCCTCAACAAAATTAAATCTAAATTTAATAGAAATTAAGAAAGAAATTGTGCTGACATTTTGATTCGTCAGATGGTCTTTTTAGGGTTTGGAAAAGGTTAGTGACTGGGAGATAGCATGCACACAATTTGGAAATCTAGAAAAGCTGCTGCGACAGCATATGCCCAGCTCTCTTTACTGTTACATTTATTCATTTAGCTGATGGTGTTATTTAAAATGGCCGACAAGATGAGAAAAAACAATCAAGCTACATCGAGGAAATTTTGAAAGAAGACTGCTATGTAGTAAAGTGGGACTTCTTGTCTAGGGTGGAGATAGAAGGGAAGTAGCTGGGTCTTCTGAATAGCTTTTTGAAAATAGGCAGGGATGCCCCTGTTATGGTGGTTTTCAGTAGCTCATCCCACAAGCGTGCAACGATCTGTACCAGGAGCTGAGTATCCTTTTGGGTTAGATATGGCCCCATCTTTCTTATATTGAATGTAGGATTGGGTTGGCTGAGAAAACCAGTAATTCATTTTTGGAGAGGTTGAACTTTGATAGCCTATATTTTGGGTTTTTTTTGTACTCATAGGATGTGTTTTTTATTCAATGTCCAAACTCCAGAAGTGCACAATTCCCAACAGCTTCTCAGGTTTTTGCTGTTCAGATGCAGTGGTAGTGTAAATTCTCAAGCACACGTGTGTGTGTGTATATATGTTTTCGAAGGCCTACCATATCATCAAATGCATCATGTTAAGACATCTACATCTCAGGTTTATCTCAGTGATGCTTAGATGCTTTTTTTGCTCGAGTTCTGGTAAGGTATAGGATTTCAGTGGGATGTTGTACATAGGATTCAATCATGATCATGGTTAGTTTGAACTATTGTGAAATTGGCTTTCCAAGATCTTGTTAGGGTGGTGATGTGGATTCTGTAGCATATTAGCAGTTTGTAACGTACTTCCCCCAGTGACCCAAAAACCCTGACGTTATTTCAAGCATATGTTCATTTTTAATTTCTAATCAAACACTAATTATGCAAAACACGTAGTTAATGCAGCAGATCAGTGAAGCAGACTCTACTCACTAGTGCGTCCAGTGTTGGCCTGTCCCTATGACTAACCAAACCAACCCTCTGCTCTGGGAAGTTTAAGGGGGTGGGGGGGGGGGTCAAATGTTACTATACAAATGAACAAAGCAGTATTCAACAGGAGCTGTGACCAAGGTGCAGTTTCTTTGAGGGCCACACGAATGTGGCAGCAGCAAGTTAAACAAAAACACTGAAAATATGAAGCAAAAAACAGGAAACTTTCTACAGGAATGTATTGCCTGGCTGTCGTCTATGGGATTTTCTCTCTGGGGCTGTCACTTTTTCAAAGGTGAAACTTTTTTGTGACTGGATGTTCTGGTAATGTTAGTAGAACTAAGGACGCAAAAAAAATTTTTTTACTATGGCTTGCTGGCATACAGTGGGTACGGAAAGTATTCAGACCCCCTTACATTTTTCACTCTTTGTTATATTGCAGCCATTTGCTAAAGTTAATTTTCTTCCCTCATTAATGTACACACAGCACCCCAAATTGACAGAAAAACACAGATTTGGTGACTTTTGCAGGTTTATTAAAAAAGAAAAACTGAAATATCACATGGCAGTTATGTATACATACATATACATATATGTATATATGTATACATACATATACATATATGTGTATATACATACATATACGCACATGTATATACACATATACATATATGTATATGTGTATATACATGTGCGTATATGTATGTGTATGTGTATGTATATTTATATATATGTGCATATGTATGTATATGTATGTATATATGTATACATATATATATTTACATATATGTATTTATATATATGTGTATATACTGTGTATAATATATATTTTCTTTTTTGACAGCCCGACTAACTACTCACGCACACAGAATCGATGAACAACGGCATTGACAGAAGCGACGACACAGCTGCTACTCTTCTTCCTACCTGAGCCAGAAATCCTGAAACAAAACAAAAATAACTGCTGCCTCAGCTGTACAGTACGGCAGCGTTGCGTACCTCATTCAGTCAGATAGATAAGCGACTGGCGCCTTGGAAAATCCGTTTGTCGAGTCGGTATTGTGATTGTGCCCAAAACAATGTGACACAAACACAGACGACTAACAAGAACAAGTGCAACTCCACGACACTGTGCATCATTCGTCCTGCCGTTTTTTGGACGTGTGGTTAAAAAGGAGCCGTTCTCATTCTGCATTTAGGAATGTCCAGATTCAGTGGAATCTTCTTAGATTCGTTCAGTCTGGAGCTTAAATGTGTCCCATTGTAGCAAATCTCTGGCTTTCACACACCGACAGTTATATTCCGTTTTTTTAAATTTTTTTTCTCTCTGTCCTCGAAGTGTAAGTATTGGTGAAATATTATGTTAGATGGTTTTTGTGTTTTATCAATGTCTACTCAGAGGCCTTTTTCGTGCTTTATTTATGGAATATTTCAACCTTTTTCTTGTTTTACTTTTTGTCTCCTCCTCTGTCTCTTAATCTCCCTCTGTTTTAATCTCAATTCTCCTCTCAGTGCATCAGACTAACTGCGGTGCAGTTACAGCGCTCACAGTTGTCCTGTGGAGTTTTACCATAAAAATCAATCTGAAGAAAAGATATATGTCAGTTCACTACAGCGTCCTGTCAGCACCTTCAAAATCAATTCGATGTGAATTGCCCAAAACAGGGTATGAAAATAGTGAAATTATAACAGTGTTTTGACATTACATAAATGACATGGCGGGCGAGTGACTGTGAACGCTAAGGTTTTTGGTTCAAACCAACCGTTCTGTGTTCACATTAAATGTAGACTTGTTTCCACAGGACACCTGCTGCGGCTGTAACTGCATCGTCAGTGTGCAAGTGCACTGAGTTTCTCTGTATGATTCTGTCCTTCAAGAGTTTGTGACTCCACTGCAGCTGCTGGCTCTTCAAACGGGAGCAGTGTTCACACGTGCTGCATTTTCCTGCTATATTTGTACAGAGGGAGCTCTTCATACCTATTTTTTATTGCAGAAATAAAGACAGTTCAGTCTTAATCACCGGTCTCTCTGTGTTACTACAGGTACTGTCGACGAGTGACGAAGGCAGGTTTTAGAAAACCAACAAGGTAAACATTACGTTTAGTTTTCTTTGAAGGGCATTTTGTGGGTAGTTGATTATCCACAAGCATCTAGACCAACAGAAATACTACATTTTCATTCTATTATAGATTCGTATAGTGTCATTAAGTATGGAGCCATTATCAACACCCAAAAATTAATTTTGACTTTTCTTTTAATTTTATTTTTAAATAGGTAAATCTTTTTTCTAATGTTTTGTGCACGTATCAAATATATATATCAAAGTTTGAGACCTCATGCACATATCGAAGTTCTCGACCTGGTGAGTATGGCCTCCATTCATGGATTTGTGTTTCAGCTTCTTTTTTAAATGACGTAGGTACAAAAGCTTGCATTTTATGAAGATTGTTATTTTAACTGTCCAGAAGGGGGCAGCGTTTCTTTATAAAATGGTATCTTGGCGTGTAGAGTTCATGGAGAGGTTTAAATTTAAATATTATAAATTTGACTACATTTATAATATTACTGTTAAATAAGTTGACAACAATCCACTTATCACGGACTACAACGGACTCATTTTAAAATTTTTAATAAGTTAATATGATAGTGATCACCAGAAACGTTTTTAACAATGTTTCACTTAATGGCAGTTTACTTAAAAAACAATTCTGAAGTTCTTTTGTTCTGGACAATATCCTATTACGTTTCTAAGTAAGGCTGGTTGTCTTTTCATTTTTACATACGATTTTTACATGACGATTTGTCAAAATGTACATATCATATAAAGTACACCTTTAAAAAATTGCAAACATTAACTATTTCGCTCGTTCCCAGTTCATAAGCACTAATAGCCTCCATGCTGCCTTCGAAAATGGATTAAACAAATTGGTCAGCCGCCGTGCCTGATACTGACCTTTAATAATGTAAGTCTTTACAGTCAACCTCTCCAGAAATAGGACATCTCTTTCTATGACGTAGGGCCTTACAGTATCTTGATCCGCCCCTGCTGAGAGAAAAGAAGGGGCGTGGTTAGCGAGAGAGAGAGAGAGAGAGAGAGAGGGAATCTTAACATTAGAAGATAGTCGGTATGTAGCAGCGCGAAGCAGCACACCGGGATTACGACGAGGCAAAACTCTGCTTGGACACAAACAATAGGAGCGGCATTGAAAATATAAAACAGCCGACGATGATACGAGCCTTGTGTGCTTGAAGTAAAACCGAAAACTTGCCATTTTCCTGCACATTTTCCCCGTTTTTGAACGAAAATGGCTAACGACTCTCCGGCTAAAAGTCTGGGAGAGATAGACCTGGCATCTCTGCGGGTGAGTATCCGTGTGCACTTGCGTGTGTGCTTTGTCACTAGCAGGGATAATTGCTGCAAAAACCGACATTTGTTTTTATTTCTGAAGACATTTAAGAGCACAACGACACCGTTTAAATAGCATTTTTCATTAAAACCTCAGCGCCGGAGCTTCTTTTATTCTCCTTTGTCTTATATCCGCCCTCCCGCACCACAGGCCGGGCGCTGCCGGCTCTAATATCCAACTAACCTGACTGCATTAAGGAATTTATAGGGATTTTATTAATAACTTCCTTTCAATGTCGTTTTTGTTCCACATTGCAGGACCCTGCTGGGATTTTCGAGCTGGTAGAAGTGGTCGGAAATGGCACCTATGGACAAGTGTACAAGGTTGGTGTGAGCCTCCATCTGTGGGTGTATTTTGTGTGTGCTGAGGCAGAAACTGGAGCACAAACACACACTCCTAGGTTTTTCCCTCCTCATTTTAAGATGTCTCCGTATATTTATGATATATTTGCCACTACTGCACCAGGAAACGCTCTGCTCATGATGACATAATACCTCGGAAGCACAGACATCCATTTTTTTTCTCTTGCTAAATTATCATTGCTGCTTATCCAATCTGGTCTCAGAGTGGTACCTCCTCTCCTCTCCTCATCTTTTATTTCTCTTCTCCCCTCCTCCCCCCTCTTCCTTCTCTCATCCACACCCCACTAAAATATTCCTTCCATCCTTACGGCATTTCTTCTCACACATCACTCCTGACCTCGTTCGTATCTATGACAGCCTTTATCATGTTGACCGTCTCGTACGCCATTAGGTGGGCGGTGTTTCACTGCGCATTTGTGCACACTGCTGCCCAGCAGGCCTTTTTCCCCCCCTGATGGAGTGGATCTTGCTGCATTTGTAGGGATAGGCTGGTGCATTCCCATTCCAGTCCATTAATGCCGATGAATAGGCTGAATAATCCATGGATGTATTTTATTGTCGTTTCTGTTTTAATTTTGTCGGTGTGATAAGAAATAATCTTCCATATTATTTCTTGGTTTTCTTTTGCTAAATAATACGAAAGTCAGAATTAAATGATATAGCTGTAGATACAAGGAAGGCTTTGTTGAATGGTGGTTGAGGACAAAGCTAGTTTTGTGGAGATTTCTGTCTGTTTTGTAAGGAATGATTCAACTCGCATTCGTCTCTTGATAAATGGATTTATTAAACTCGTATTATTAGTACTCATATTTCAATATGAAACCCTGGTGCCCATTATATCAATCACAGACTTGGTTGAACTAGTCAGGTAGTGAGATGTCGTAGTTAACCTAACGGATTGACAAACGAACCATACCAGTTCTAACAAAGTGTGTCTCTAGAGAGGTTCGGTAAACATTTTTCAACCTTTGCTTCTATCATGCTCCATTTGCATTAATAAAAGTTACTGCTCCAAAATAATTTGTTTATTTAATAAGGATTTTGAAAATATAGTTGTTTAAAAAATTGTATCATTGTTTCCAAATAATTCAACAATTTTATAATTACCTTGGAAAATTTGTTGGCATCTGGACACTAACTGCAGACCTTCTCACTGTTGCCTCACAGCAGCTACGTTAATAATTGAGTAAAATAATCATCAGCTTTTTACAAATTATAAATGGATATAGTTTTTATAGGGTAATAAAACATTAACTATTGTATGCATGCATTCATTCATCTCCTACCGCAGTATTTTCCAACCTTGGGGTGGCAGCCCCATGTGGGATCCCTTGGAATGTAAATGTGGTTCGTCTGGAATTACAAGTAATTCAGTCATTTAAAAGAAAGTTAAACTAAAAACTAATTTGGCTACTCTGTATTTGAAACACAGTATTACGAACATGATCAAAAACTAATTCTAGAAAGAAAAAAGTCTCTGGGGTGGCCAAAAATGTGATGTCAAAATGGCCGTCTGGCCCTGGTCCATCACAGGGCCTTATATATAAAGAGCAACCATTCGTACTGACTCCTGGACCTATGGTCAGTTTAGACATTTTAGACAACCCAATTTAGTTGCTATTTAAATGTAATTACTGTAAACTTACAAAAGAAAACCATGGTCACGTCGCAATCGTGTGACCCTATTTGCTACAGCTCCAAGAGCAGTATCAGCAGGATTGCATCCGATTAATTTACACATGGGTAACAAGGAGTGACGTTCGAAGGCTAGCAGGAAGGCTTTCAGATTTTGAATGTGGAGCACACATGTGAGCAGCATCTGAGA